TATAAAAGGGGAAAGAACCCGCCTTCGTAGAGGGAGGGCCCAAGCAATTATACACTTAATCAAAGAATATTATTACGAGATTATATCTTTCTGATTCATGTTACATTCTTGGTCCGCCATCTGATCGGGTTAGTCCCATCATTGGTACTTCCATTGAGAGAAACTGTGAGATAAAGCTGTGAGATTATGGCCGGACGAAGGACGAGGCGTAACACCGCTGCTTCTGCCTAGTCAATGGTCAGGAGTGACCATCCTAAACAAGGTATGATCGTTCCTGTCAATGGGCTTGAAACAACGTTGAATAATGTGGCTAATATGATGGCCAACATTATGGAACGCTTGGACCAGGATCTCCCTCGACCATCCGGTACCCGGGATGTCCCTACCGGGCAACCCCGCCAGGTCTTGCGTACTGCGAGTTCTCCCATCCTCCTGGAGCTTCATGATCCGGAGGAGGTCGAGAGGGAGAGGCAGGCCATCGCTAGGCGCCAGGCGGAGGAGATGGGCCGGAATAATAGGGCAAATGGAGATCGGACTAGGGGTGTGAGCCAAGTCATTGGCAACGGAAACGACAACCCGCGGGGAACCGTTTTTGAAAGGATATCTCACCAGAGGGCTCACGTGAGTGAGAGGCTGGAGAAGAGTCCGGACAAAGCACCACAGGGTTGGGTACGACCCTAGGCCAGCTTAGTGGCTTCCTCTAATCGCGAACTTCGGCATCGAGCCGGCCGCGGTGGGAGCCAAGCGCCAGTGCGGTCATTGGTGGTCTTGGACGAGGAGGAAGTTCAGAGCCAAGTCAAGGTCCGAGCACCGCAACGTCTGGGGCCACCGCAAGTACTAAAAACAGGTGAATTCCAGGATCTGAGGCAACAGATCGAGGAGATGCATAGGAAGATAAACAGGGAACGAGTATTCACTACCCGGACGAATACTCTGCTCGCCCCAGAAATCTTTGCGGAACCATATCCGCAGGGATTCAAGATGCCGTTTGTCAAGCGTTATGATGGGGAATCAGATCCCCAAGAACACATAAACAGCTACATCCAAGTGATGATTGCCGTTGATGCCAGCGGCGCATTGATGTGCCGGTGCTTCTTGCAGACAGTTGATAACAAGGTTGCGGATTGGGTGAATCACATTCCTGCCTTATCGATCCGGACATGGGATGAATTGGGATTGCGGTTCTTAGAGCATTTTGCAGGGAACTGCCGTCCCAAGAAGCATTTCTCTCACCTGGCTTCAGTGCGGCAGAAGCACGAAGAATCCTTGAAGAATTTCCTAATCCGGTGGAGGAAAGAATCCATGGAGGTTGAAGGAATCGACGATAAATCCAGGCTAGCCATGTTCACGGCGGCATTGCAGGATGGCTTCCTTCATACTGATCTTACACCTCATCCCCCGGATACCTTTGAAGAAGCAATGGTCCGGGCCGGGAGGTATGTTACCCTGGAGGAGAGGAAGGAGGATAAGAAAGAAAAGACTCCCAAAGAAGAACAGAAGGCGGGAAACAAGAAGCCTTTCAAGAACAAGAAGCAAGGTTTCCCGGATGGCCCAAAAGGAACAAGTCCTGGGACCTCGGAGAAGCACAAATCTGCCAATCCAGTCTTTACGTTACCTGTGGCTGAGGTCATGGCCCATGCTGCACAGCAGGGACTTATGACTTATCCGACCTATTCGCAGAAGGTCTGTAATGTGGAGGACACTGGAAAATGGTGTGCCTACCACCACAAGAATGATCACAACACAGAGGACTGTTATACCCTGAAGAATGAGATGGCGAGGCTAATCTGTCGTGGCCATCTGAAGAAGTTTGTACAAGATGGTGACACGGGAAATTCCAGGAACACTCAGAATGGGAAGCGTAGAGATAAGGAGGTGGCCAAGGAGGCCCGGGAAAAACTCCACATCGGGCTTGAAGATGAGGAGGATTCAGAGCCCGCACCACACCGGCAGAAGAGACACCACAGGTGTAACTTCATCATCAGAGGGAATACTGGCGGAGACTCGGCCACAAGCTGGAAGAAGTGGGCCAATGCGGCGATGGTCAATAAGTTGCTAGCCCCGGAAGGTAAGAAGTTGAAAACTGAGCCAATTGTATTTTCCAATGCTGATTTTCCAGAAACTGGGGTCCCCCATAGGGACGCCCTGGTGATTACGATTGACATAATGGACTTACTGATCCACAAAACTCTGGTGGATACGGGAAATTCTATTAATATCATGTATATGGATACTTACAAGGCTCTTGGTTTGACAAGAGATGAGTTATCACCCATTAAGACTCTACTGACCGGGTTCACAGGTGACTCTATTGAACAGGAAGGGGTAATAACCCTCCCGGTCGAGATAGGGGATACTAAGGCCACCCGGAAGTTGGACATGGAGTTCGTTGTAGTGGGGATTGATTTGCAGTATAGAACGGGCAAAAATAACAACTAAAAAGAATCCCTTGTAAGTAGGGTGTCGAACCTCAGGGAGACGTGAGTTAATTTAATTTAAACAAAAGTTTACAAAAGAAGTTGTAAGATATTTTGGTCTTTTTAGTTTTAAAGATAAAATAAAAAGTGTAAAAGAAGAGAGTTCCAAACATTACAAAGTTTTTGATGATAAAAAGTTAGGGGTAGAAATTGGTAAATTAATTATCCAATGTTTTTATAAAAGTTGGATTGTCAATTTATTTTTATATAGAATGTGTGGAGTTGCAGAAAAGTATTTAGGGACGCTCTCGCAGTTCACCTAAATAATAACTACTCCGCCTTTAACACGCTAATGATAAATCCGGAGTAATTATTTAGTAACAACGGCAACCATAATTATTTTATTGTATGTTTACCCAATTTAATGGTGTAAAAATACAACTCAATAATTATTTCCACCCGAAAGTCTTCAATCCCAGTTAAAGGAAGAGAAGGCTTACGATGTATTTAAAAAGTGTTCTATTTTATGATTATATCAATTTTAGTTCATATTCCTTGTAACAATTATGTTTATGATTGGGCCCTTAATTAAAAATCACAAACATTTCAAATTTATTTATTTTTAAATACAACATCTAAGTAAAAATAAAATTAACAATCCATGTTTAAAATATTCAAAACATTAAGATGGACAATTAATTACACCAACTTCTAACCCCAATGGAATTTAGAAGTTCATAGTTTGAAGCTTAAACAAATA